GTTAAAAAGGTGGACTTCGAACTAATTTTCACACTTCGCTTTTAAGTAGCTTGAAAAACGGTTGGCAGATCTTGAGATGGCGCTTGTGTACGGTAATTTAGTCATGTATACGGACAAAATCGGAGTACTGATTGGATAAGTCATGAATTCTTTCTCTAACAGGCATGTTGACTGTGTTTCAAAATATTAGCTTGGTTGTTGAGCCGTTTTTCAGACTCATTCTCAAAACCACTCAGAATAATGATAGACAAAGGGAACGGTGTTCGTTGCAAAATTTCCTCTCCTTTTTAGCAGTGGCGTTTTTTTAGCGATTATCAAATAATCGCTAGAATCTTCAACCATGGTTACCACCTACGCTAATTTTGCTATTTTTAGAAATTTTTGTGACGTTTGAAAAGCTTTCACAGCGGTTAGATGGAGCAAACAAAGCGCAATACACCTTTATCTTGGCATCTATAGCTAGCTTTTTGAAAATCTTTTTTTAAGTTAAAAAAATGTTCTTTCATACTACAAATCCCATATTTGGGCATAGTAAACCTCATAGAACCGAGCGGCTAACAGTTAGGCTGCCAAGCAGTTTTTTCCGAGTAGTTTTTTTCTCCCCTTTTTAGAAAGCGTTCATCTTTCCCGATTTATAATGGCTTCGCGGATAACATCACCATTATTTTTGTTTTTGAACGCGCCCCAAGTTGCACGAGGTTGATCGGCAGTTCCTGTATCAAAGCTGAAAGCGCTCAATCGCTTAGCTAATTAGTGTCATCACAAACGATCTTTTGAAACTTTGAATACCGAAGAATTATTGCTGTTTGAAGCTTTTGTGTAAATTATGGCTTCGCAACATTTTGAAAAATGCAGGCAAACCAATCTGAGACGCCAAATAACCTATTGTATTGTACTTTACTGCTCTATTAACTCCTATCAAAGCTTTTCCAAGAGCTTAAAATGATTTTGAATTTTAGTCAAATTTACGATAAGTGAGAACCGTGTATTGGGGATTCCGACATTTATTCGTGCAGTCATCAAAGGAAACAAAAACATTGCTGCTAAGAAGAAATTCTGCAATGAATGCGCTTGTCATCATTATTCTGGGTCAGCTAGAAATGAATATGAAAAAGCACAAACCTCCTGATTGACCGCATAGATTAAGACAACGTTTTACCTGCTTACTTAAACTCAGATGGCTCGTCTTCACGTGGCGTGCAAGCCTCAGCACAAAAGTTTCCTTATCCCTGTCCCTCGTTTCAAACATTCACGATCTTCTTGGTTGTTGTCGGTGGCTGTGTCTACAAGTTCCAGGTGCGATCTGTCCAGCTGATTTCTCAGCTTATTCATCCGTTCCACGAACACGTCTGCCCAATCGTTGATGGTCTCTCGGGGACGTTTGGCTAGAGCCGTAGAGCTTTCGACGTGGCTAGAGTTTCGGCTCAATTTCCAGCTGCGTAACAGTGGGCCTGGAGATCGATGTCGAACAGGTGGGCACGAAGCTCCGGGTGCATCAGTTTGTCGGTGGCTTCCTTCAGAGACATGAAGGCGGCCCAGATTGCTCTTCTTCTTCTGTTAAATTCTTCTTTCAAGTCGTTCTCCATGTTCATCGAACGTGACGTTATGAACTGAGTCTTCTTCCGATTTATTCGCGATCCGATCT